AGAGTCAGATGTGGGGTTGGCTCTCGAGCCTTTTCTTCCACCTCTCCTCTCCAATCATCGTTCGGGAACAAACACTTCGCCCCCATTCGAATTACGTTAGGAGGTCTTTCGCTTTTGCCAAATCTAGAGAGATACTACGAGTACTCTCAAAATGCTAGTTCTATTGGTGATGAAACTACTTGTTCGGGGCAAACTATAGGAACCACTATATTTTGGCTGTTCTCTAGATCTTCAAGCAAGATCTCTGTAAGAGAGTAGATGTTGGTATTCGAGCTAAAGCTCGAAACCTTTGATAAAAGCACTCGAGCAATTTAGTTGATGTTAAAGCATTTCAAACAACTAATTAGATTGGTATTTGGGAAGGATCCCACATTGAAAAGACAAGGGATCTTATATATAATAATAGACATGAACTACTTCTCTCCCACTGCCAATTGGTATTGAGATACAACTCCATGAATATTCATATGGTGTCCAAGCCCAAAACACTCAAATAGGCATCCGGTCAAAAAGTGAGATTCAACTAAGATCGATGAGCCAAAGATATCCTACGCGTACGCGTTGAAAAGATAAGAGACTTTAGTTTATAATAGACATAGGCGTTATTCCTGTCATTACTAATTAGTTTTTTAGATGGAATCCCATGAATATTAATAATATTTACAGGAGAAATTTGAAAAGAGTATATATATAATCCCAAAGAAAAGACCTTTTTTAAGGATGATTCCACCTACAATAATGATGTATAATAAGGGGTACGGTGAGAATTTTAGAATACTCTTTCTATACTATCTATATACTACCTCAAATATTGCAAAGCTTTCTTTATATTATTCGTGCCTTTTAAGTTTTATGAGATACATATATTACATCATATGTATTTAATTTTCATATATAAAAATACACTAAACTAAATAACTAAAAATTCATCTAATTTTGAATTGAAAAAGAGATCGATATAAAAATGAGGAACTATATATTTATATCCTAAATGTCCTAAATCTTCAAGATGGGTGTAAATAATCTCCTGAATATATGTTATATTTTCGAATATCATTTCATATTTAGTTCTTCTAGCTATCCAAATACATTATATATAAGATCCGTATAAGGGCTAATTACATTGAACTTCTCTTATACTTAGGGTTTAAGCAAGTACTTTACAAAATGTTTGGTCTAAATTAAACTAATACATGAAAGAGAGAATATATAGAATAGGATCCAATTAAAAAAATTGAATGGAAAAGGGGGGAAATTATGTCTATGGGCAGTGTGGAAGAATCCAATAAAAGCTTGGGTTTGGCCATGTTGTGATATTCCTCTTTGCACTAACTATAATTCTTGCTGCAACTTCTTTTTGGGACCAAATCTGCACACCAAAAAAGAAAATCCTTCTCTCTAGCTTTTCATTTATTTGTATTTTATTTCACGAAATCGATCCCATGTAGCTTATACTAGTAGATCCCTATAATCGAAACTCGTTGCCTTGACTGAACAACATTGTGACCAGCGCAGAACTCGAATTTGAGACCCCAACGACTTGTCACTGTGCCATATATTCACAACAATATTATATATAATTGATACATATTCTACTTTTCTACCTCTAAAATCAATCAAAATATCACTTTCTTTTAAGGTTCAGCTAATACATCACTTTTTTTTCCTTTTTTTTTTTATCATTTCAAGTGAATTTTAAAAGAGAGGTACATCCTTCTTTTTCCTAATATTCCCACCCACCATCCCTAATCCCCTTAGGATCTTCCTCTGTGTTCATTCTGACTTCTATTAAACCCTAGCTCACATTCTTCACAATTTTTCTTTRTGATATATAATCTCGAACTTCGAGTTTGCTTATTTGTCTCTACTAAGCTCATGAGGACAACTTTCTAAATCTAGAACATTGCTATATAGGAAAATTCGTAGGATATTTTATGTCTTAGGTAGGTGAGAGATCACGATGATATGATTCGAATTAATAATCAAAAAATGTCTAGATTTGGCACCTTGATGATCTCTTAGATTATCATGCCAATTTAATCATGTGGGTCGTTGTATCCTATATATTGAGTATATTAGGGGAGGGAGGGGAAGAGAGGTCATTTTCAAATCAAAAAGTTTATTCTTGTCTTTCTCTCATTTTGTTCCTTTTTTTATTCCTTTTAGAAAATACAATGAAAAACAGCTACCAAATCAATCCCATTTTTATTAGAATAATATACTTACGTGGTAAGGATGTCTACTTTCCAGCAGAACCGAGCTTACGGGACCCGCTTAAATGGGGCGAGGACGGGAAGTTTTTTCCCGCCTCCTACATACTACGGGAATGGAGAATAATACGTTCCATATCCCCATTCTTCGTTCCACGCTCTACCTCACTTTTATATATATTAAAAAATCCTATTATTCTCTCTCAATATATATATAAAAATTGTATCCGACCATGTAAATGATGTTTTATTATAAAAAATTAAGCAATTAATTAAAAATTTCTTTAAAAAAATATTTGATTGAAAAATAATTTTAAAAAATAAAAAAATAAACGAGAAAAAATTCCTGGTGAATTTTCCGTGGACAATCCCACCTCGATTCTCATAAAATTTTGTGAGTAATTTCTCAAGATGGAGAATTAAATGGGGGCAGGGACGGGGCCCGCCTACGAACATCCTATTAGGTGCAAACGAGTAAGTAGGTATCTTTTTATATTCATCTCTTTATTGTCAAATTTTTAATGAAACTAAATATAATTCTTTTTATTATATATATATCAATTACCATGCAGGTCTTCTGAATCAAGAAGAAACCAGCATGCACCACGTTCCGCTCTCTCTCTTTTATCCAGAGAGAGAAGAGTTCACTTCTGTATCATATCCAATTATGTATATTAATTAATTACTGCAAAATAAAAAATAATTTAAAGTTGGAATCTGGAATAGAATAAAGCAGAAAAAGGAAGTTAAATTATGTCCCGACATACCAAAAAACAAGAAAACTGACATAAAGTATGAAACCCCCCACGTTATTCTTACACAGAGAGAAAAAATAAAAAGGAGATCTTCTAAATTAATAAAATTCGACCCCTCAACAAAGCAAAAACGACATGTCGGAACCCTACTCTTAGTCATAGTCTTGGTTCGACGAGAAAGAATAAAAAGTAGAAAATTCAAAAGCACATTCTGAGATATGGAGAGAGCCACCATGTCGTGATTTCCCATTGAGATGTACTCTAAAGTTCATTTGCTTTTTATGGGCCAAAAAAACATTATAACAGTGACATTGGAAGGAAAAAGAAAATCTTAAATAATATTGTCGAAGCTGGTTACAAATAACAAAGAAATAAATCAAATTTCACTCCTACCACCCAGCTCAAGCACAGTTTTCAAAACCGACACCCTGAATACGGTTTTTTCTGAACTCGAATAGCACGTTTTTTTTGTGGAATATATACAAAATGAAGAGACTTAGATAAAAGCACTCAAGTTAAGTGAAATGGTAGATAGATCATAATTACAAAATAGAAAGGATTTTGAGGATCAAAGAGAGACAGAAATTATAATGTCCTCTCGCAACGAGCCTGTGAATTAGGTTCTATTGTTGCGCTCCCACCAGACATGCCACAAAACGGCGCTAACCGTATTACTCCATAAAACCTCCCTTTGTCTTGTGAGTGGGGGGAGAGACTCTCACAAATGAAAAGATCAATCTGTCTGGGCAGCGCCGAGGATGTATGGAAAACAGCAAAAAGTCGATGCCAAAGACCAGCTGTGAGTGAGCAATGAGAATAGATGGTCCAAGCTTTCTGAGGCCGATTTGTAGAGAATACAACACCCAGGACCAACTATAAATTTGGGGCGCGACGCTGTAGCTTTTCCTGGGTGTTTAAAGCACGGTGAAGAATACACCAAATAAAGAACTTACATTTCAAACCTAGGTTTTCTAGATTCAAATTTTCTGAATCCTTCCACTTACCCTCTAAGTTTAAAATGTCGCACTTACACCTCAAACGCCTCCCAACAAAGAAATTAATAATATTTGAGGGAGAGGGTCATATAAACTAGCTAATGTACTGGATTTCATCTCACATTACAAATAATATTGAACTTCATTAGCTAATGTAGCTAATGTACTAGCTAGGGGAAGTAGAGAAGAT